ACCTTCCACTCTTTTGCTTTCTTCTCCCCGTCAGCTTGTCATACATAATAGAACACTTGGAGGAACTTGAAGTAGGAGTGAATGTAGAGGTGACTTTGAAATGTGTTTTTGTGTGTGTAACTGTGCCTTACTTTCTTTTTCCCCTTTAAGTTTTCGAAAGTTGTTCTCTGACTTTGTTCACGATCCCAACTACACTCACACGACACACTCGCACACATTGGCAGACAGACAGTCTGTGTGTCAGGGCGGGACTGCTGGCAGAGTGTTTGTGTGTGTGTGTGTGGGTGTGTTAGTGTCACACAATCAGAGCACAATGTGTGTTTAGGTCAGTGTGGTTTAAACTTGACGCTATGAGCAGGCGAGGTGTGGCGTCTTTTGGTCATTTGTGTTTGGGCTTGACAGTGTTATTTTGTTTTTGTGTGTGTGTGTGTGTGTGTGTGTGTGTGTGGGTGTTTCTTAGGGTTGTGGATGCATGACTCCAAGTCAGGGTGTGACTCTTGGCTATATATAATCACATCCAAAAGCTCTCACTTACACACACACACCAGATGCTGTTTCCTCCCACAGAATGATGTTAACATGACACATTTGTGTGTATGCGAGAGAGATATATTGTGTTAGTGTACAGCTGTTTTAAATGTGTTATTCATCACTCACCTCAACACTAATGGCATCACTCATTGCAGCAGCATGTATTTTTAATATCACTTATATGACTGCAGTAAATTCAGGATGAGGCCGTGATCGATCGCGTCTATAAACGGGAAACCAGGCTGTGTTGATGTCATTGTTTTGTTCAAACAGGTAGCAGGGATACTTGTTCACTCTTTTGTTTTTTTAACACCCAGCGGGATCACATATCGCACAAAAAAATCCATCTTCTCAGGCTTCGAGTACTGTGTCTGTGTTCGATACTAGCACTAGTGTTCTGCGGGCCGTGAAGAGGAGGTGTGTCTTCCTCCGGTGGTCCCATCCCAACGCTCCCTCCTCAAGACGGCGTCCTTTAAACCACGCCCCCAAACAACAGAGACTGAGTCAACACGCGCGTGGGCAAACTCAAATCAAGTCCCTCGATCCTACCGCGTGTAACTCGACCCCATACAGCTGCATGTGGGAGCACTGCTGAGGGATGTATTAAGAAGTCAGGTGTGTATTTGTGTGTTTGTAACGCACATGTCAGGGGTGTGTTGATGCAGATTAAGATGAATGTTTTCGCTGTATGTCAGCACTAGAAAGACCTCTGCATGTTATGCGATAGTCTGGCTTCAGGGACTCGAATCACTAGATGTGACTAAAGTTCACTTTGCTAATGCTGAGATGACAGTTTGACATCTATACGTGCCATTTATATGATTCATACATCATGCTGTAGTTGTAGGAAAAGTCCCTTTTTGGATGAACTGCGTGGGATCGTGTTGCACCAGAACCCTGAGTTGAGGGAACACACCTTAACTCCAGCATCGTCCTGTTTTTTCGTTCCTAAATTCTGCAGACGGTCTCCAGCGCTTTGCAACAAGGAGGACACGCGGCTGTTGATGGACGGGCCCGTCAGTGGTGGGGTTCAAAGACGTGACCTCTGGGTTCCACGATGGTCACTGGAGCGGTTCTGATAACAGAGCTTCCCCCGTTTGGTTACGGCCGAGGGCCCGCAGGAATGTCAGAAGGCTGTTATTGCAGATTAGGAGGAATATTTTTACTGGAGGCGTACAGCAGATGGGGAAGGGATGGCTTTCATTACTGGAGGGACGCGCGATCAGAACAACGTGTCTGTGTTTGCATGTGTGTGTGTGTGTCTGCGCCTCGTATATGTGCACTGTTTGGAAACCTATCACTCACACACTGAGAAGGTCAGAAATCCCCATGTGCTTCAGATTACATCCGCGATCGAAACATACGAAGACCAGCGAACAGCTGCAACACGAGAGGGTTGTGGTGGCCATTACGATGTAGTAGTTCTGAATGATTGCTGTTAGTGCACGAGTATCGCTTCTTTTTTACAGCTCTGACGACAATAATCTATTGACGCTAATACGGTGGCCGACAACTGCATTCAATACTACAGCACTAAGTAGGCCTTCTTAAACCAAAGTCATAAGTTGTGCTGCACTTCACTCTGCGTTCATTCCAAATAACATGCTGAATGCGTGGCATCGGTCCCACTGAGATACAGAGAAAACAGTGTGAAGAGACTTTTCTGTGTCACATGGTCTGTTCATGCCACACTGAGAATTTGCAACTGGAAAGCCTGTAAGTCACCATCAGTGCTGCCGGCCCAGTCAGAGCCTTGAGCCTGCCCCAGTTATTATAGAAGAAGCCTCTTTTCCTCAGTTTCTTTATCCTTTGTATTTATGAAATCATATTTTTTTAAGTGGGATGTGATGATATATTTTGTTTATAAAAACGAACACACATGCCCATTTGTCTCTGTATCTAGACGACACACTTATGGCCATTATTGGGTATGTCCTGTGGTTGGAAGGAATTTGGCTCCAGTGTGTTCAGAAGATGTGCGCCTCGGCTCTCGTGTTTTATGGGCGTGCTTTGTAGTTTGGGGAAACTCAAAGCCAGTCATTATATTGAAAAAGTTAGTCATCCAAGTGAATTAATCGAATGTCTTGGGTAACGTCAGGTCAAAAAGTTGTTTGTATAAACCAATGGAAGCTTCTATGAGGATTTAATCACAGTAGGTCAAGCCGACCCAAGTCAGTGCCCGCTTCCTGTCTCTTCTTCCTTTTCTTAAAGTATTGGCAGATTACACGCAGCAATGACGTCCTTTACAATCTCTATGCTGACTGGCTCGGAGGAAGGGCTGACATTCACGTTAACATTTAATCAAGAAACATTTTTTCCAATTTGGGCAGAAAACCATCCAATCTGGCAACGCTAAGCTCTGCCAATATCTAGTGTTTCACATGTATGCAAGAAAATATGATTTGAGTCCAGCTTTAGAGCCATTCGATTGATGATATGCTCACATCCTGCTGTGAAGTGAGTTAAGAGCCCAACAAAGTTAGACGTAAGTTTGGCAGAAGTGACTAAAAAGGCTTCGTTGTAATTGTGAATATGCAATGTGCAAAGTCATACCTCATCAATATGAATGTGACACAGATGCCTGCACCCAGAACAGCAGCACTGGCAGAAAATCCAGTCTGCTTTCATTACTGTGTGTGTGTGTGTGTGTGTGTGTGTGTGTGTGTGTGTGTGTGTGTGTGTGTGTGTGTGTGTGTGTGTGTGTCGCAGACAGCGAGGAAAAAGAAGACAATATGACACTGCAGCAGTCAGCTGTTATTCCACTGTGTGTCCGAGTGTGTGTGTGTGTGTGTGTGTGTGTGTGTGTGTGTGCGTGTGCGTGTGCGTGCGCGCGCACACACACACACACGCGTCCGGCGGGAATGTGTGCCGTGAGTTAATCTTCCGGCGTCATCATCATCATCTTCTTCCTCATAACACACATCTGGAGTGGGAGGTTGATTGAGAGCAGCTACTGCCCCATCAGGGCTGTGGTGCAGTGATTTCCCCCTTCTGAGAGAAAGTGGGAGAAAGAAAGAGGGAGGTGTGAGAGGGTGGGGGGGGGAGAAGGGCATGTCGCAGCAGCAAAAAGCCAGCCGCAGATGGATGACAAGAATTGAGAGAAAGAGAGATGAAGGAATGCAGATTAAGAAGGATGGAGGAGGGTGATACAGAAACACGAGGAGAGATGTAAGAAGGGGAGGAGGTGTGGAAAGATGGAAGGATAGAAACAGAGTAGAAAAGGGATGGTGTGATGACTTTTCTCGCTTCTTTTTGTACTGGTTCATAGGTGTACGTGTTTGTTTACTGTCGTAATTGAATGGGGTGTCACATTAGTGGGCTTTACACGTCACATGAGAGCACACCAATGCTAGAGAGAGTTTGTGTGAGAGAGGGAGAGGGAGAGGTGGGGGCCGAGCAGGAGGGAGGGAGAAAGAGAGAGAGAGGGGGAGAGAGTGTCGTAAATCACAGCACATCAGCGGGCGGACGAGAGTGGAAAGTTGTGATAAGGACCGCTCTCGTTTTCTCCCCGTCAAGCCTCTGGCTCAGTGCTTTCCCTTCCATCTGAGACCGCAGAGGTCCGCCGGCTCTCCGCGAGGATGGAGTGGAACGAGGTGGATTTGGTGCAGGAGTTTACTGTTGAAGGACAATGCAGCAAAATTAAAGTCCGCTCCTGCAGGATCACATGGGACAGCCTGCAGGTAAATACACAAGGGGAGGCTGACAGAAAACACGCATGTTAACGTCAGCGCGGTGTCTGCAGCAGGATGGTGCGTGTTTGACAGCGTGAGGATGAATGACGCCGTTGTTAAGTGTCAGGCGAACTGTTAACTTTTCTGTAGCCGTAGGATGCGTGTCATCATTAGAGGGATTAGAGTGACAGTACCCGGAGGATATAAACTTCATCCCAGGACACAAACATCACACTACGGACCAAACTGTTTGGACAGACAAGGGATCTTTATTCCAACCGATGACAATAGAATCATTCTTTAAAGCAACAACTCTTGGGTGTTGTCGAGGGTGTTTACAATGCAAATAGTGTTGGTTATTGTATCCACATATTCTGTTAAATATTTGCTTTTTAGGGTTTTAGATCGATGATTGTTCAGGCTGCTTGTAGAATGTAGTTTTTAAATCTGTTTACTCACTTTTTTTAACGCATCTTGTGCGATTAAATGGATTTTAATCTTACACGCGACTGAATACCAAATGTGAAATGTCACCTCTTTATAGTTGGTGTTGAAAATATGCACCGTTCATACATCCAGTCGCACACTATGTAACACTCTGCCAACATACTAGAGAAAAAAAGTATTAGAACAATTCAGGTTGTATTTTATTGTTACCAGCAAACTTTAAAGATGTGATGTAATTGTCAAATGTATTTATATCCTCTCTTATATAGTATATCAGCAAAAATCAAGAATATTTAGATGTTCGATGTCTGTCCTATCAGCTTACCTGTGAGCCAGATGTGTAGCTCCAAGACTCGGGACACTTCAATTTAGAATAGAAAGATTTTAAACTTCAAATTGCCATCATGATATTTTTAAAAGGGGCGTTCACCTCAATGGTTTTCAAAGTAAAATGCATCAATGCTATTCAGCAAAAATGTCAACTTTAAGTATTCAGTAGTATTTCATTTTCACAATTACATCTCCAACCCCTTCTAAATGATAGTTATTATGGCCTTTATTTGCTTCCATACAAGCACATTCACAGAGGAGTGTATCAAAGTGAAATAGGTGTTATGACGATAGATTCACGTAGCGTCGCTGCTCACAGAGCTGACATGATGCCAGCGATGTTCTGATCATACTGATGGTTCCTTTAAGGGGAAACCAGAGAGCATTAGCAAGAGAAAGTGAGAGTCGGCAGAATCCCACAGGTCAGCAGTGAGCTAATGACGCGTGGCACCACTGACCAGTGTAATGTGCGTCGTGTCATCGTCTGAAACACGAGTCTGCATTACGCTGGAAACACTGTGTGTCTGCATTGTGGTTCTGAGAATGAAGTGAGTGAGCCTGGAGGCAGTGATAGCACAGCGTGGCTATCAGCATCATTAATCACTGATGCTGATATTTAGCACAGCGCTAATGCAGACCAGAGTTACAGCGTCCGATCCCACGAGTTGTTGAAACGGCCAGTGGGTTTAATTTATTTCAATGATTTTAATATCTAAGGATTGCCATTACCCCCGGGGCTCAGTTCAGGGTAATGGAGCTTTTCATCCGCTCCTCTCTGAGTCATGGCATGAAAGACTCCACTGGGGTGTATGAAGACTTTTTCAATGTTTTAACTAAATTGACTGAAGCCTCAGATTCTTTTGAGACCCTTAAACCTTGAGGCCTGGACCCCTTAAATCCTAATGACTGCAGGCCTCTATAATTATCTGCAGCCTGACTCACAGCAACACTCAGTACGGACAGTAGAAGTAACTCCACTTATCAGGACTTTGATGAAAGTTCACCCAACCAAAAAAACTATTTCACAAATTTCACAAAACATTTAGTCAGTTTTACCTTTTCAGATAAAAAAAATCATTACCACAACAATCATTTTCTGATGAAGAAGTTGTATGGAGGGGTGTATCGGAGGGCGGGCAGCGAAGTAGAAAAGGGTTCAATGTTCAATGTTGTTCTGTTAATGTGGGTGAACTGACTCTTCGACCGTCTTATCTCTTAGTGAAGCCATTTAGACACCTTTACATTGTGAGGAGGCGTACCTACATTACATACCGTCGGTCTGGAGTTAACTCTGGGGTTCCTCGCCACTTTAGGCCCCTTCCTGATTCCTCAGAGTAACATCAGTGCTATGGACCTGATTTGGACCTGGTCAACTGATTTGACCTATAAATGTGTTTATTGAGACTACTTTTTAATTTGTTTGTGTGCTGACTCAGCTGTTTTGATCCTGCACTTTGAGATGATGTTGTATTGGACTACATCATTTAAAAAAAAAAAACTCCTAATCCTCATTTCCATACACAGGTGCCCTACAGCATGGGCAAGCCAGTACAACATCAACAAAAACGTTATTATTTATTTCTATCTTTTTTTAACGGTTGAATCCTTCGTAAATGTGCAGTGTGACTGACGTTGTACTCACAACAGATTGTACTCCGTGTGACCTTCGCAGAAGACATGCATATCAACCGTAATGATTAGTCTCATAACGACTCATAACATGGCAGAAACCTATTCTCCAGACCGTCAATCAGTGTTGCTCGTCTGGCTTGAGACACAAATGCAACTGTGCGCCTGATTGAGGCCATTTGTCAGCGCAGCATTATGTTTTTAATCCCTCGTACGTTACGCAATAAGCTATACTGATATTGTTACATCATAGCGAGTCATTTGCACAATTTTTGCTGACGGTGAAAGGTTGATGTGTTGATATTTCGTCACTGTGTTGCATTCTGCACTACATTATAGCTTTATTTGATGCAGTGCAGAGCTGCGTCGTTCTGTGGACTTATAACTATACAGTCACAGGTCTAGAAAAAAAAAGCTTTGAAAGAGCCGGTGTTTAAATAATCAATCAAATGACTTTGATATTGTATCTGACGTATTGACTGTTAACACAGAGGAGAGTCATTCTTTCGATGTATACTGGAAAAGAATGTAGCAGACCAGGTGCAGTGTGTGCGTGAGTGAATGTACACAATAGCAGGATGTGACTGGGCAGAAACCTTCCGTTGTTGTCTGCAAAAGGCTTTTCTCCCCACCCTCCCCATCACGCACACACACATCTCTAAGTACGATCATTGACATGTTTGTCCTGAAGAACATCCACAAACATGGCTACATAGCTGTGTGTTCGGCCCGGTTTGATAAAACACTCCTCCGAAAAATGATCAGCGACATTAGATTTTTTTTTCTTCCAGCTGACGTCGACGTCTGTGTCACACCCCCTGAAATGATCAGAGCACAGAGGATTCCGGTGATTTCCCCCCCGAACCAATACTATAATTCTGTCACCCTGCCAAGGCCACCGGCTGCTGGCCTAATAACGTTTCTATAGCACACTGAAGGTGCTCTGTGACCTGACCAGTGCGAGGTGTGTGTGTGTGTGTGTGTGTGTGTGTGTGTGTGTGTGTGTGTGTGTGTGTGTG